AATCAATTATGGGTCTATTGATTCGAGCAAATATTTTCTCACTATTGTCGACGGGTATTCCAAGTTTGTGGAGGTTAAGTGTTTGAAAAACAAGTCAGAGTGTGCTGACAGGATTATTGAGTTTATTACATACACCGAAACAATGTTCAAGTCTCAGGGAAAACAGTTTACCGTGGGAACTATCCGCACTGATAATGGTGGTGAATTTGTTACAGGAAAGTTGCATGATTTCATGAGAAGCAAAGGTATTGCCCATGAGTTGACTGTGCCACACCATAGTTATCAAAATGGTGTTGCTGAAAGAATGCATCGGACAATTCAAGACAAAACTAGGTCTTTAATTATTGGGGCTTCTATGCCGGTTCAGTTTTGGTCTGAAGGTGTCCGCACGGCTGTTTATTTGATTAACAGGACGCCATCCCGCGTTATTAATTTCCACACACCATATGGTCGTTGGTATGGATACAAGCCGGGCCTTGACCATCTTCGCTGCTTTGGTTCCCTTGCATATGTGGTTATACCAAACAGTTTGAGAAATGGAAAATTTGATGCTACCGCCAAGGTTGGAGTGATGCTCGGGTATGATAGAGATCACTGTGCGTACAGAATTTTTGATCCTGCTGCCAACAAGATTATTGTGGCGACTCAGGTCAGATTTGATGAGTCAAGATATTACTATCAGGATGTGAAGCGAGTCACTGATGTGGATAGAGAGATTGCTAAGGTAAGCAGCTCTGGTGGTATGGGTTTTGCTGGTGGCGTTGCACCAGGCCCTGTTATAAGTGATCCAGACTTAGAGGATGTTGCAAGTGAGATCTCGGTTGATGATGAACGAATGGTTTCCGATTTGGATGATTCAGAAAGAGAGTCCACTGTTTCCTCAAGCAAAGACGTGGAAATGAGAATCATAGACGATGATGAGGATGCCACTGGAGAGTTAATCCCATCAAGGATGGTTTCAGAAGAGTTCAAGTTGGTTACTGCTACAAAAAGGAAAAGATCATCGGGTTCTAGACCCAAGAAAAGTACAGGTTTGATTAAAAGAAATCCATTTGGGATCTTGGCAGAAGTTGAACAAGAATCTGATACATTCAGTTCAGATTCAGAGAGGGAAATTGCTATTGAGAAACCACAAAGGAAGAAATACAGAAACGATAGTAGCTCAAAAGAGCTTACTTCTTTTGTTCCTAATGGTAGTAGCAATGACAACTTGGTGGTTTCGGAAATTGAGCCACATGTTGAACAGCCAAGTGATTGTGATGAGGAATCAGAACTGAATGATGATGCCGAAGGCAAGTTGTTAGAGTACAAACCTGTGAATTATGTTGCCTCTTGTTTTATGGCTGGTGAAGCTGCTGCTTTGGCTGGTGGAAGTGATGTTCCTGGAAATTATAAGGAAGCCATGAAGAGCAACGAAAGTGCAGAATGGAAGCGCGCTTGTGACGAAGAAATTGCGGCTCACAAGGAGAATTCCACTTATGAATTGGTCGAGTTGCCGAAAGGAAGAAAGCCAATTACATGTCGTTGGGTCTTTGCAAAGAAAGATAACGGAGTCTTCAAGGGAAGACTTGTTGCTCGAGGATTCACACAGGTGAAGGGTATTGACTACAATGAGACATTCTCACCTGTGGTGCGTTATGAATCTATCAGGTTGATGTTGAGTATTGCAGCTAAGAATGGAATGGCAGTTCATCAGATGGATGTGAAAACTGCATTCCTCAACGGATCTCTTCAGGAAGAATTATACATGACACAGCCGGAAGGGTATGTGGTTAAGGGAAAAGAAACAATGGTTTTGAGATTGAAGAAAAGCTTATATGGTTTGAAACAGGCTCCCTTGGTGTGGAATGAAAGAATCCACAGTGTTTTGTCGTCGCTTGGTTTTGTCAGAAACGGTGCTGAATATTGTCTATATTCAAGGAAATCCGAAAAGTCTTTTGTGATGGTTGCGCTTTACGTTGATGATTTATTGATAACTGGTACCTCAGATTTTGCCATCAGGAAAGTGAAAAGTGAATTGATGAATGTCTTCAAGATGAAGGACTTGGGAATAGTCAGGAAATTTTTGGGTATCAATATCTCGCAAGATAATGGAGGTATTAACATGAGCTTGAAAGACTATATTGGCTCTATGTTAAAGGAATTTGGAATGGAGAATTGCAACCCAGATAAGACGCCTACTATTGCTGGTCAGGAGCTCACCTTGGTGGACAACAGTGCTGAGGATTGTGATGCCACAGCTTACAGATCTTTGGTTGGAAAATTATTGTTTGCTGCTAATACTGTTAGAAGCGATATCAGCTATATCGTCGGTGTTCTATCCAGATACCTCAAGGAACCAAAGGAGGTGCATTATAAGGCAGCAAAGAGAGTTTTAAGATACTTGAAAGGAACCAAAGATTTGGGAATAAGATATGAGGCTGGCAATAATGATAACGGTGAGCTTCTTGGATACTGTGATGCTGACTGGGCTGGAGATAAGTCAGACAGAAAGTCTACTACTGGGTTTGTGTTCAAATATGCCAATGGTGCAATCACATGGAGATCTAAGAAGCAAGCTACTGTTGCTCTTTCTACGGCAGAGGCTGAATACATGTCACTAAGTGAAGGAGTCAAGGAAGCATTATGGCTAATGCAAGTGTTCAAGGAATTTGGGATCAATACTGGTCCAGTGAGGATGTTTGATGATAACCAAGGGTGTATTGAAATGGCAAAGCATCCAGCTTTCCATCATCGCACCAAACACATTGACATCAGGACTCACTTTATCAGGGACCACATTGGATCTGGCTCTATCAATTTGGAGTACTTGAGCACTGGTGTTATGATTGCTGATATGTTTACAAAAGGTCTTGCTGCCCCTCAATTCTTGGAGTTGAGAAGGCTCTGTGGTATGGAGACTTTGAATTGAGAGAGGGTGTTGAGTTGGCAATCCAAAGTTATGTGGTTAGTCATTGTTCATGGAACCTTCTAGAACTCATGGAACCTTCTAGAACTTATGGAACCTTCTAGAACTCATGGAACCTTCTAGAATTCCATGGAACATTCTAGAGCTTATGGAACCTTCTAGAACCCATTGAGATTAATATAAATATGGGCCATGCCCCCATAGTCTGAGTTTGTCCTTTATATAATTTAGATAGTTAACAAGTAAAACAAGTATAACAAGGGAATAAATATTATTGAATATTATTGTTATCAATGTCTTTTGTAACTAGAGTTACAAAACTACAACAACTAACATCCCTGGAAAAATATTTATATCACCAAATCTTGAGATATAAAATCCAATACGCCATTAACACCCAAATCCAAGTGGAATCTCTACTTGATCAATACCAAAAATCTCAACTCCATCCAGAATCTCACTTTCAAAGAATTGGAAGTATGATTGACAGAAACTCCATCCAAACACATATATGGTACTTTCCGTTACTTGGCTACCAACTCTCATATCCTGGCAGCTCCACCAAGAAAATTACCCTTTCTGACATTGTCAAAAGCAACATTTTCTCACTAGAAGAGAAAAAATACCTCAAATCATGGTCGATTTTATTTGATCTAGAGAACCAGGGAAAAACAAGGTATCACAGATGCAGAAGATTGAAGATTGAAGATTGAAGATATCCAGGACAATTTAGCAAAACCAGTACCAGAGAAATACAAGGCCCACCATCAAAAAATGTTCACTTTTGATTTTAAGAACGGCAGCAAACAGGAACAACTCAAACGAGACGTCTCCAAAGCATCAACAACATTGACCAAAATCACATACCCCCTGGAGCCACAACAAAGAAAATTTTGGAAACAGATTAACCAGATCAAAAGGTGGGTACCGGGTTCAATGGAGAACCTCCACCTCATGATGTTGGGGCTCACATTGTTCAAATCAACAAATTCCCGTTGCCATGTTTGTAATTTTCCTCCAGAAAATTGGAACACCAACCCCAGGGATCCTGACCATATCAAGGAAGCCTACATCACCCATTACTACATAAATTGCACAGTATCAAGAAACTTATGGAAAATATTAAAAATGGGAATATCTCAAACATGGGATAACATCATATTGCATCAACATCAGAAACAAACTATGATAAAATTGGATCGCTTCGCTTATTACATTGAAAAATATAATAGGGTACGAAGGTCAAATAATGCAGATTGGACTAATCAATCAATGAAAACATTATTATATCTTATTACAGCGGTCTACTAAAAAATTAAAATAACCATAAAACAAAATAAAAATAAAATAAAAATAATATTAAAAATAAAAATAAAAATAGTCAATATCTTAAAGGGGGTTTTTAGTGAGTAGAAATCTCACACTGTTGAATATTAATTTAAAAAAATTGAAATTCTTCGTCTTTTGAAGATTTTCCTCCTCAAAACCAAGAACAAGTTTATATAATTATATACTTATGAGATTTAATATAAATCGAAATTATTGGAAAAAAAAAAAAAACAGCATCATCAACGCCCGTTTGCTCCCGTTCTTGCAAAAAATTATCGGCCCAAATCAAGTTGGTTTCATACCTGAAAGATCTGTTGAGTTGGCAATCCAAAGTTATGTGGTTAGTCATTGTTCATGGAACCTTCTAGAACTCATGGAACCTTCTAGAATTCCATGGAACATTCTAGAGCTTATGGAACCTTCTAGAACCCATTGAGATTAATATAAATATGGGCCATGCCCCCCATAGTCTGAGTTTGTCCTTTATATAATTTAGATAGTAAACAAGTAAAACAAGTATAACAAGGGAATAAATATTATTGAATATTATTGTTATCAATGTCTTTTGTAACTAGAGTTACAAAACTACAACAGGCAGCTTTGCTAGCTTCTTCCGTAAAGTGAACGGTGTTGATTGGAAAGAAGGATGATGGATCAATTCCGGATTCATTGAAGACATGGTCAAGAAGTTTTTCCCGGTTAAATTCAGTAAACTCGGAATTCATTTCAATCTCAATTAAATGGGATTCCTTATTCATTGTGTTTAACAAAGACCCTGGCGTGTAGGTATAATTTCCAACTGTAACTTTAAGGTGGATGTTAAGATATTCAATTAAAAGATTTCTGTCCTTCTTGAAGATATCAGAGCCTGTATCCTGAGGGTTTGGGATGAAGTTTGAGTTAAGGCAGATCTTCTTATTAAAAATAACCAAGTGGTTGAGGGCCCCTTTTAAGTTTTCCCTGATTATGATCAAATCCTTATCTGGTTCGTTGGATGACTGTGTAATAGTATCAAGTTCTTTGGATAACTTAGTGAGTCCGTTTTTGATGGATTCCAAGTGTTTTTCAAGAGGAAACTCTGTAAAGATATCTTTTGGGATCTTAAAGTAGATTAAGATATCCTTAAGATGCTGTTGGCTCATGATAAATTCCAAGTAGTTCTCCAAGCTGATTCTAGAGTTTCTCAATCTGTTGAATTCGTTTGTCATATTAAAACTGGTGTAGTTTTGGAAGAAATCTTCAATTTCCATGATCTTGACGAGTTCCTCGCGTTTTTCTTTGGATTTAATAATAGCAGGATTGGAGGTGGAGAACAATTTTCCTGATTTGCGTTTCTCGCTTATGGCATATTCCAATACGTCGCGGTGCTTAAAGTCAAGGATTTTGATGTGACTTGCCCATTTGAAAGTTCTTTCAAATTTCATCAACACGTTTTGGAAGGATGGATCATTGGTGTTTGTAGTGGCTCGAGGTGTGCGCTTGTCTCCAGCGGTGGCTTGAGCATAGGTTTGGATTGGTCTTGCCATATTGACAGCTGGAGCCACCGGATTGGAGGCCGTAGTTGGAGAGGCGACAGTAGAAGATGAAACAGAGGGAACAGGAACAGAAGGAACAGAAACAGAATTTTTTTTTGGGTTTTGAGAATTTTCGATTTTTTTTTGGTTTTCGGAGTTTTCATTAATAAAATCAGTAGAAATAACGGCTTGGGTTGGAGTAACAGGATTATGCATGTCAATGTCAGTGTCACATGCTGCATGAGAATTGCGATCGCAATCAACTGAAGAAACATTAATTGCTGGAGAGGTAGTTGGGGTAGAAATGGCGTTGGAATCCATGTTTTGGTCCGCTTCAGGATCTTCTGAAGCAGTTAAAAAGGTTTCAACAGTACTATTAATAGTATTGTCGGCTGCATCAGTAATTTCTTCATCGGAATCTTGATCTTTAGCTTGTTTGTTTATGTTTGCTATCGGGATCGGGGTTTCAGATGTTGCGCCAACATCCAATGAAGAGCCCCAAGAAACCGGGGTTTCAATGATTGGGGGATCATTAGTAGGGTCGGTGGAGTAGTTTGGGGTAGCTTTATTACTATTTCTAGTGGTTCTCATGATTTTTTTACTGATGTCACCAAACGGCGGTTTTTTTTTGCGGCGGTATTGAATTTTTTTTTTTTTTTATAAAGTCCCTATATTTAACTACTAAGAGCTATATAGGTCATCGCACTTTTTATGTACGGTTATTATGATCAATTATGCGCAGCTATGGCGACTTATTTGGTGTCCGTTTTCTCCCAATATTTTTGGTAACCTGGGAGTTTGGGTTGGAAAATGCAATGTTTTTGACTTGTAGCAACCTGTCACTATTTTTTTTTTAGCCAGGGAGGAGGAAATCTTCGAAAGACACCAGCGACGCAACCTTACCGGTAGTGTGAGATTTTTACTCACTAAAACCCCCTTGTATCTTACCTTCAGAGTGGTATTACTCCTTACTCAGCTAGCGTACTGAACGTGACCTGTTGGTTGATGCAGCGAGCGGGGTTCGAACACGCGACCCTTTCTTAGTCTATGGTTCTGCCCACTACGCCACCCAGCGCAGGTTTTATTTTTTTTTTTTTTAAAGACAAAATTTTATGGTAACCAGGACTCAACCTAGGCATGATCCCATAATATAACAAAAAACAAAGAAAGCCGGGCTAGCCTAATTGGTTAGGGCGTCTGACTTCTAATCAGGAGATTCTGGGTTCGAGTCCCAGGTTCGGTGTACTCGAAAGAGTGATTCATGTAGGCTGGGTGGCCGAGTGGTTAAGGCGTCACGTTAAGGCCGTGATTTCTTCGGATGCGCGGGTTCGAATCCCGTCCCAGTCAAAATGTTTTTCAAAAGCCATGCTCACACACTTTTTACCAAAGGATTATAAACTGCACTACAATGGTAGTGCAGATATCCTTCTAGGTATTACAGTGTTTTCATTTTTTATTCGTACCAACCACCGGAAATGTTCGTACCAGTGGCAAAAAATAATTCATACCGACCCCCGGTATTTTTCGTACCACCGCAGCGGGATTTATTCAAACCATCTAACAAAAATAGATCATACTATTGCACTTCAATTATTCATACCAACAGTATATAAAATTCATATTAATTCCTTTCTTTTTTTTATGTGACTGGCTCTATAAGCCTCTAAGCTACTCAGTTTAATCAAATTATACTCATTTTTTCCATAATTCTGTGCTACTTTCTATAAAACCGGATATCTATAATAATATTAATAGTAGCACGTGATTACGGTTTTCAAGAAATGGGAACGAATGTATGGTAGGAGCTGTTCTCCATTTAAGATGATGAATTCCCACTTTTGACATTCAATTCGGTCTTTATGTGATCACCAGATTACTTACAAAAAAAAGCATAAGATTTTACCATCAAAACTAAGTATGGACTTGAAAGCCAAGCTACTAACTGATGGGTATGTTGATGGCCTAGGTAATAGATTCTATGCTGAACCCAGTGAAATGACTTTAGAGTCTGAAATAGCACCAGTTGAAGCTTGCTTTAGTTACAGTGACTATAAGCATTTTGAAAAACCAGGTATCATGGATATCATGGAAATTGATCCTATTTTCGAAGAAGAAGAAGATGCCGAGATGGAAATTGAAATGAAAGAACGAAGATATAGAGGTTCGTACCGGTATTATAATCAAGCTGTCAAACAAAGATTTTGGCAATTGGTCATGGAAGAAGGCGTGTCAGCTTACAAGGCTGCAAAATTAGAAGATATACCTTTGCAAACTGCTTACACATGGAAAAGAAATTGGAACAAAATACTTGTTAATGAATTAAATGGTATCTCGGAGCCAACAAAGAAAAGAGGTCGTAAACCCCTTCTCACTGATGAACATAAGGAATTCCTTCAAAAATTGATAAAGGAAGATGCTACAGTGACTCTCGATTTTATGTTGGAGAGACTCAAGAAAGCCTTCACCAATGTAAGAGCCAAGGCTACAACAATCTATAACTTTGTAACCAAGGTCTGTAAGCTAAGTCTCAAACGTATTTCTAAATGGGCTTTGAGAAGAAGTCTGGAGGAATTGAAGAAACAGAGACTCGAGTGGGCAGAGAAGTATAAAGACAAGCTCGACTTTAGTCAAAACTGTATTTTCATCGACGAAGCAGGTTTCAATATCAGTATGCGGCGTGAGTATGGATGGTCTGCTGTGGGTGAAAAAGCAGTTCTTACTGTTCCCGTAACCAGAGGGCTTAATATTTCGTTCATTGGGGCAATTTCTGTCAAAGGTTGTATTGAATTAAAGGTCAGAACTCCAGTGGCTACATCCAATAAGAAGAGAAAACTTGATTCAGAAACGACCATTGACAAAGTGAGTAAAGGTACTACAGCTAATCACTTCTACAGTTTTGTAAAGTCAGTGATCCAGCAAATAGAAAATAACGAGGAGCTCAAAGGTATGAAATATTTGATCCTTGATAATGCTGCCATTCATAAACGAAGTGATCTTCAGTTACTAGTGGCACTGAGTGGCTTGGAACTTGTGTTTTTACCTCCTTATTCTCCAGGGTTGAATGCTATAGAAGAATTCTGGTCAGTATGTAAGAGTAAAGTCAAAAGATCAAACTTGAGCAAGAAGGAGCAATTAACTCCAAGGGTGAAAGAAGCCACAGAAAATATTTCCCTTGATAGTTACAAGGGATTCTGCAGACATGCTTCTAGACATATTGATCTCTGTTTACAACAGCAGCTCTTTTGAAAACAAATACCAAAGATGAAGAAAAAAAATTAGAAAACAAACCAAAAAAAAAAAAGTAAAAACTATAAAAAAAATTACATAAAGACGCAACAAAGCTCCAAAACAAATTAATGAAAATTTAAAATTTTAAGGAAGGACGAAACCACACCAAAATTTGGTTATGAGCCTTTGAAATGGTAAATGAGTATTGCAAAGGGGCTTTATTGGGTGTGCGGGTCCCCTGTAACATGTTTAATAATATCAAAGATAAAATATTAATGAAAGCATAAGAATTTTATGCATTTAGTATGAATTTTGTATTCTGTTGGTATGAATAATTAAAGTGCAATAGTATGAACTATTTTTCTTAGATGGTCTGAATAAATCCCGCTGCGGTGGTACGAAAAATACCGGGGGTCGGTATGAATTATTTTTTGCCACTGGTATGAACATTTCCGGTGGGTGGTACGAATAAAAAATGAAAACACTGTACATAGGTGTCCGGCGTTTTTCTTGTCGGAAAAACATCGCTCCACCATAGTACACAAAATTTCATGAAGTACCCTTAAGTTAAGTGATAGACAAGATCAGACTATTGGAGCTTGCACTGTACTAAGAGCTACATTTCAACAGTCACGTGTAGATCCAGGATGCTATAGAGTTGTTAAATAATAAGGTTCTGAATAATCAATATTTGGTGCTAGATCCTCAAATTTTCTTCAGTTTTGTGGGTTTAGTGGTGAATAGACATCTCTACATGTACATAATGTCCACAGAACAAAGTTTTTAGGTCAAAATTCTAAGTTTATTAAATAAAAAAGCAAAGATATTTTATAGTAGCAATGAAAGTATAAGCAAAACTTAAAAATATCAGTTAAAATCGAATTCAGGATCCTCGATCCCAACCAAAATATGATCCGAATCACAAAACTCTCCAGCTTCGTCAATATCTTCGTTTTCTTGCCCTTCAGGAGCATTCAAATCCAAATGCAAACTGCTATTTTTGGAAAATGATCTTCTTAATTCTGCTGCTGGTATATTTCTCTGGCCAGCTTCATGTTTGGCACTTAGCTTGAAAAGTATATCGCCTTGTGTGGCAGTTAAGTACGATTTGATCCTCAAATGCCTCATCACGCTCTTATGACTCAAGCACAGTCTCCGCACTCCAATAATATCTCGAATCTGTGAAAAACTTGATACAAGTCTGGAGTTAGATACATTAATGGATTCGATAGAAAAATCCCCCAACGTTTTCAAAAGGCTGAAAGAGAATTCGTAGCAAGAGTCGGTATTATGGCCATCAATGTTGAAGTTTTGTAACCCTAGTTACAGTAGTCATTACCAATAACAAATACTATCAAACTATCCTTGTTATTATTCTTATTCTTCTTAACTAACTATTTAAATAACAAAATATAAACTCAAACTATGGGGAGAGGCCCCATATTTATAATAAGACCAATATATATGATTTGTAATCATACATCCATCTAGAACATTCTAGATGATTAATCATATGCACAATGACTAATTATTAGGCTGAGTCATAATCACATGCAGATTATATATTGCTCAGCCATGGTAAATAAACCGTCTTATCCGAGACTCGAACCCGGGATCTATTCAACACATTGATACCCGTGTTAACCGTTAAGTCATCAGTACAAAACCCAATATAGACTTTGGATTGTCAACTCAACAATCAAGCATAAAACGTAACCTATGTATCTCATTTTCTAGTGCTACATTCATAATAGACGTATTTTGCAAAGAATAATGATCAATAAGTTTCTCAAGACCAACATTGTGTTCAGTAGATTCACTCTCAAGGGATTTCTCTTTTTCATGTAATGCATGCAATTTTCTAACGTATGCTTCAAGCTAATTTTCTAACGTATGCTTCAAGCTAATTTTTTTTTTTTGAAGACAAAATTCAATATATTAATTAATTATATAACTATATATCTCATAAACTACCTAATGTAGTTTGAAAATTAAATTGTTAAGGGAAAACCATTAATGGTGAAAAAATGTTTTTATGCGTTTTTAAGGTTTTTAATTTTTGTTGTTTTTTGTTTTTTTTGATTTTATTTTCTTGTTTTTCCCCACCTATTTTTTCTTCTCCGCTTAAAAGATATTGCTTTCAAGCAAGAAGATCATTGAATCAACGGCCATATGACAATTGAAATGCCTTTTGGATTTCAATCTTGATAATTTTCGTTGGAAACCTAGATATCTATCGATCGTTCTGGTTTCGTTCATGTTGGTGGCAGGGGTAATGATTGTTTGCCAGGTTAATGGGATATTCAAGTCAATTTTTTTCCAAAGTTTCTGGGCCAATGGACATTCAATAAGATGGTGCTTCATGATTTCAAATTGGATTTCCTTTGGGGCATATTGGGGTTCATCATATCTGGTTAATTTTTTGCTGCAATAGTCACAATGATTATTTACGTAATTGTGATTTTCAATGCCCAAATGAAAGATGTGAATATTTTGATATTTCCCCGGGAAATGTTGGTTGAATTTTTTGAGGTTATGCCAAAAGTTATCAACTTGTTTCTGATTCACCCCAGTAATGTCCATGAGTGTTTTTGACATCTTGTTCACATCTTGTTTTTCCCGTTGTTTTTTACTTCCTTTAGTATGGTCAAAATCCTTAATTCTAATTGGAATGTGTTGTTGATATTTTTCAGGAATCCCTTTTTCAATTGAATTTTTCAAATCTTCAATTCCAATCTTCATTGGCTTCAACCTGATTGTACGTTTCTTTATACCAAGAACTTTTCTGAAATCCCAGTACGCTGTCCTTTCAGCATCTGAGAATGTGCTGCTATTCATAACTTCTAAGGAAATTGAATCATTGGTATTCTCAATGTCATCCGCTAGTTCAAGTAATACCACCCACCAATAATGAGTTTTGATATATTCATCCTTTGGTGATTTTGTTGGTGATGTTTTTTGAATGATGTTATTGATACTTGATTGGATTTTAAAACGTAATATCTGGTTATATTTAGTGTGACTATCCAAAAACAAATCCTGGAAAATTTTGGCTCTTCGGTGTTGGAGTTGAGACTTTAAATCAATCATTGAGAAACCGCCTTTGTTGTTGTGTGTCTTGAGTGTATCCAAAGAAATAGGTGTATCTTGCTTGACCAATAACTTAATCGATGTGTCAATTTGATTCAACTGATTGGGTAACAAAGGTTGGTGTAGTTCTTTGTAATAGAACTTGGATGCAATATATGTGTTGAATGCTTCTATTTTTGATTGAATCAGCAAGCTGGTCATGTTTGATAACTTGTACTTGATATGGAGGTCACGCTGCAATGTTTCCGGCCAAAATGTCACTGATGGTCCAATAGTTATCCCCAAATATGTCAATTGAAAGTTTTCATCAGCAATCTCAAATGGGAATGGTGTCAAAAATGGATAATTATCAGTTGGTATGATTAGTTGGGATTTCTTTTCATTGAGTTTGCTGCCACTGAATTTTTCAAATAGTCTAATACATTTCATTGTTTTGGAATAATCTCTTTTATCTTTGAGGAAAACTGTGATATCATCAGCAAAAGCAAGATAATGTTGACTGCTATATGCTTCAGGTATCAAATCTCCTTGGTAACTATGGCCTCTGGTATTCTGTTTGATAGATCGTAGTAAAGGTTCTACTGCTAATGCAAATAATGAAGGGGAAAACGGATTACCTTGGAGGGTACCATTTTTTAAATTGAATAATGGGCCGGTCATGTTGTTGATGTATAAGGATCCCGTTGTCTGCTTGAGGATGTTGATGATTAACTTGGCTAATTTTTTTCCAAAATTTAAATGGGACAATAGTTGTTCCATATATTCGTGAGATATCCTATCGAACGCTTTCTCCAAATCCACAATTAGTATCAGCTTTTGTGGATTTGGTATTATATGCGTTTTATCTTTTGGATGAATTAGACTATCTAACATTTCTCTGAAAATGGTGATGTTGGAGAACGATGACCGGCCTGGAATAAAACCAGCTTGATCTTCCCCTATGATATCGGGCAAGTGCTTCAACAACCTATTATTAATTATTGTGGATAATAATCGAAGATTAGTGTTGATAAGGGCTATCGGCCTATAGTTTCCAATGTTTTCTTTTGACTTTCCAGGCTTTGGTATGATGTTAAAGAGTATAGTTCGGTAGTGGAATGGTAAATTTCCTTCAGTTAGAATGTGGTTAAATTCTTGAAGAAGGATGTGTTTGATTTGGGGAAATAATTCCTTATAAAATTTGTATGGGATTCCATCTATGCCCGGTGTGGACTTCAAATTTGCCGAATCAATTGCCAGTTTGAGTTCTTCCATTGTTATGGAGGAATCCATTTTTCTCTTCTCTTCAGGAGATATTCCTTGGGTTGGAATCACGTCCTGAAGATATTTATGTATTTTTTTTGTGTCCTTTGTTCCTCTGGTTCCATCAAACAAGTCCATATAATATTCAGTTGCTATTTTCATTATCTCTTCATGAGATTGAACTAGTGACCCTTCTACATCTTTTAGCTGTTTTATTGGGCGTTGTTCTTGATATTGGTGGAAAACTTGGTTAATATGTTGATAATATTCCGTCACTTTATCAAGTTCAGGCACTTTCACTTTTTTCAACATGTGTTTGAGTTTTTCTGCTTTGCATTTAATATCAATTATTAATTCATCGGTTCCTTGGATATCTTCATTTATAGATTGGTGCCTGAGAACATTAATGATTCTGTCGGTCAATCTATATCTCTTCATATTATAGTAAGCCTTGGATGAAGTTAAAGTCAACTCCACTGTAACTGAATCATGTGTGGATCTTTTCCCAAAATGATTAGTTTGTGTCATATTCCATTTGTTTTCTTTGTTTTTTAAGAAGCTCCCAGTGATATAGAACCTATCCAATCTCCGGCTTTTCCCTAATTCTGATGCTTTATTAGTGAATGTTTTCTTGATGTTATGTTTGATTGAATTGAATGAGTCCTTCAAGTTCAACAAAGTAATGAGATTAGTTAAGGATTCAGCAACTGAGTCTTCACGGCTTCTATAATTTAGGGAGTCCGAACGATCAATAAAATTATTAAAATCACCAGCTAACATGATGTTGATTGTCTTTCCTGGGAATCTAGTTTGAAGATTCTGATGTTGGGCAAGTAAACTGAGTTTGAGCTGATCATGGATCTGATTTTGCTTTTGGTATTGATTTGGATTATACAAGTTTATAATCCAGAGTGCTTGGTTATTTTCTAATTCAATTAAGACATCCGTGATGTGTTTTTGGAGTTCATGTTGGACAGTAATACCTGCTAATTTGGATCCTAACACTGGAATAGAATCATCAACAATTATTGCTGTTCTGGAACAGGTTGAATTATAGTATATGACTTTGTTATCGAACTGAAACGAAAAGTCTTCTGATAGATTTAGTTCTTGGAGCAAAGACACATTGGATTTTTGGGTGAAACTTATTACCAACTGGTCGCTGATACGACTCCGTTGTATATTTTGAGTATTGATTTTAATAATCATTATGTTTATTCATTGGAATTTTGATTTGTCTGTTTGTTTCTGGTTGCATCAGCTTCCAGAGTTGACAAATCATCATTGGTTGGTGTTAATTCTGTTTTCTCATGTACTGGAATTTCATCACCCAGTAGCATTTCATCCTCCTCATATTCTTCTGAATCCTCATATTCGTCTTTTGCATCATAGATGTATTCTCCATCATTTTCATACTCCTCATCATATTCTTCGTCATTATCATTATCAGGTTCTGCACTTGATTCAGACAGGGTTGGCTCTTTAGAGCCAGTTTGTGCCAGTTTTGATGTCACTGATGGGTGTGGGTCTTTAATGACTAACTTAATAGATTTTGGTACAAATGGTTTTGGTGCTGAAGGCTTGGTGGTGTTAATTTTGGTCAAAATTGGGGTAGAGATTGGGGTAGATTTTGGGGTAGATTTTGGGGTAGATTTTGGAGTAGAAGCTGGGGTAGAAGTTGGGTTGGACAAGGTTTGATTAGATTTTGGGGTAATTGGATGGGATCTAAACACATTCAACTTAATTCCTGGTTTGGCTGACTCTTGCTTGGTTTCAGCTGGTTTCTCCCTTTGAAG